AGAGTATGGTGCAAAGAGAATTTGAGCTTACTTCTGGCAGTTACTTCCGTGTATTACCAAAACAGGATCCTTTACATTTTCTGCTGGTTTTAGAGGCTATACGGTAATATAACTTTTGAATCAAAGTCCAGATAAGAATAGACCTAGAAAATTTCCAAGACATTTTGTATTTTTTTTTCTGAACCACCTAGGGCCAAATTAAGCCAGTCAAGTTTTCCTACTACCTCCTGCTGTAGAGGCTAGTGTTTTTGTTGTTTATCTAATGAGGTGGTCAAATAAAAGGATTCTCAGATTCTTGAAAGGGTCTCATGTGCCTTTTCAGCTAACAAGCTTTGTCTTTTGTCCTCAGTTCATGATCTTTCAAAATCCAAGTTACAGGCAATAATGCAAAAGAAATTCCCTGTATTGCCTATCACAATGCAGGTGCTGCCTTGCTATTTTGGATTTGTGTTCTTAGCACCTGGCTGGCGCCAGGAAATTTCCCTAATTCACCCTTCAGATTATCCACATAGTTAAGAATGTTTTATCCATTAATTTTATTTCTTCTAGTTCACCATATCCCTAAAACTCAAATGATGTTTTCATATTAAACTGCTTCTAGATATTACTGATGCCTATTTTTCTTTAGCTCCTAAATACTAATTTGATTAATAGAGGTCCTGTTTTCTCTCTCAGATAAAAATATAAGAATACAAGATCTACATATCTCAGAATTATTACTCTTAGTAAAAGGCAGCATAGCTTGGCAGTTACATGGAACATAAACTAAGGCAAGAAAGCTACTGGGAAAAGATTTTTTTCTCTTTGGGCTCTCTTATGACAGAAAGGAATCTGAGCAGCATATCATCCAGATATTTTTCCCTATGGTTTTCTTCACTATAAATTTGCAGCTCAGTTAAAAGTTAGGCAAAATAGAGAACATACTCCAACAACATACATTACAAGTTGGAGAAAAGTGCAAAAATGGGGATAAGGAGAAAATGCTTCTCATTCCAATATTGCAAAATGCCAGGCACCATTTCTATACTCATTATTTCCTTCATTCTTTCATTGATATTTACCTAACATTTACTATGTATACACCATTGTTCCAGGTGTTGGGGATATAACACTGAATAAAGGAATATATGAATGATGACACATAAATGAATACATAGAAAAAAGATAAGAATACAAACGGTGACAGCTCTTTGAAAATGACACAATACTACAAAACTCTTTTGTTATTATCATCTTGACCACAAGAGAATCTGGATAATTCTGTGGATTATGATTATAAAAGTTGTGTTTTCCTTACACACAAGAGCAAATACACCTTAGTAGACTTGAAGTTTCAAAGCAATTTTCACTGGCAAAGTTTCTGACTTATATTCAAAATTCTGTTAATCTACAATTGGACACTTCTCAATTCTCATTCAGTCATAAATGCAGAAATAACACTCTATAATTCACATTAACTTTTCCAATAAATTAATCGATTTTAGCCTAGACAGTGTTCTAATTCAGCTTCTATTTTCTCCAACAGTAAATCTCAGGTTTCATTTCCACAGCCAGCTATGGACCAGAATGAAAGATTTAACGAAGCTTCAGCTTGGTAGTTGTTGAGTAAGCACTCTGATACATTTCTACACTATAAACATTAATGAGACTTACTCCCAACAGAGTATTTACTACATCAATTTATTTCATAGTATTATGTTTGCAGAAGCAAGATAGAGCAAAGGTTGTTTTGGATCCTTTACCAATACCTCTTCCTGTAAACAAAGAAAAGTGCAACCATTTAATTTACAAAATCATTTTAAAAGGCTAAATGCTCAATAAATTCTGCTTTATCTAGTTCAGACAGCCTCAGAAGCTATTTGTAACTTGGGTATAAAATGTATATAAAATTGAAGCATTTTTATACCAGCTTTCTGTCCCTGACTTTGACTGGAACTGAATTTCAAAGGTTGTTGAGACAGTATTGGGATTTCTGGGCAATATATTTGAAATTCCATCCTGCCCTGATAAGGGAGTCAGCCACTTATTTTATGAAAAGGAAGTCTCCATTACTATGTGTATGCCCACTCTCATCCAAGCTACACACACACACACACACACACACACACACACACACACACACACTACTTTTTCCTTTTCTCCAACCACTGCCATTTCTTGCCTCTCACTTTCAACTAAAGCGAGAAAAGAGAAGAACCTGAAGGAAGACAACTTCAAAATCTTCTGCCTTCTTCTATAACCCTAATATAGAAAAACGTATCTGGGATAAACTGGACCTCTTACACAAGCATCCCCTGACACAATTCTGTTTAGTACTATGAAAAATGTGATACACAATCCTATCTGTCCACTCTTGCAAATTTCACCTCACCATTCTAGTCACTCCCCATATACAGACTATTTCTACTTAAGTAACATAGGTACCCAGAAAATAAATTTTCAATAAAAAGTTATGCCATCTTTGGGGCTAAGTAATACTTATAATTTTTCTGATGGCTCCAATAAACTAAGAATTGTAGGATAAATTTTGTTGAATTTTAATTAAGCACATTAATCTCTACCTGTGAGAATTCAGTATAACACAGAAGTTAGAAATATCTTCCAAAGTCAGACAGACTAGATCCTGATTACTAACACTCACTAGCCTTCTGATTTGGAAAAAACTAATATAAAGCTGTATTATCTGCAAAAAAACAACAACAAAAACCCACTTCTACGGTTTGTTGTTATTTAGTGGGTAAGTTGAGTCCAACCCTTTGCAACCCCATAGACTGTAGCCCACCAGCTCCTCTGTTCATGGGATTTTCCAGGCAAGAATACTGAAATGGGTTGCCATATCCTTCCCCAGGAGATCTTCCAGATCTAGAGAGTGAACCCTACATTCTACATTGCAGGCAGATTCTTTACCACTAAGCCACCTGGGAAGTCCCCACTTATATGGACACTTGTAACAAGTGATAAATTTATGTTAGATGTTTAGCTATCAAAAAATGCTACATGTTGTTATATGGGGGATCTAATGTTCTGCTAGTATCACTGGTATAAAATTAGTTAAAAACATAATCTTGCCTACAGGATATTTTTCAATCTTATTGTGAAGACAAAACACTCATCTAATAGACAAGTTTACCAGGTACTCATTACACAGGGCAAACAATTAGATGATCGGGTATTATTAAAGAATCATCATTATTTTTCCACCTTATCTAGACGAACAGGTCCTAAAATTTTCACATAAATGCTGAAATTGGGAACTTAATAGAATTTTTTCATTGATGCCAATAATTAGGAATTGAATAATATTAGATTAGAAATGAAAATATCTATTTAAGATGTGTGACTAAAGTAAAAGCATATGGAAAGGTTATTTTAAAATTAAACGAATTATATATCTAATAAGTTTATTGTGAAAGTAATAATGTTAAGAGCAAGACAAGAATTATAGGCTATGTGCTTTTTTAAGTTATCAGTAAAACTTTAGTAATTTTAACTGTGCTTTTTTTTTTTCATTATGGAAGTATCTGCTTCCAAATAGTCACCTCCGCCACTAATAATGAAAGCTAAAATCTACTGAGAACTTATTATATGCCAGTCACTGCTGTGATCATTTTTACATGTACTATTATTCACTGCGTTAGACAACACTAAGGTACAGGTCCTATTATCATTATTCTCAATTTATAGGTGAGAAAATTAGAAAATTAAGAGTTGAATAAAATAGCTTACTTAAGATTGCATGGGCAGCAACCACCACAGCTGATATAGGAACCCAGGCATTCGGTCTCCTGAACTCTTATCTTTAAGCATTATATAGAATTGTCTTCCATTACACAAGTACATATCTGACTTGGATAACCAATGGTCTTTGACATTGTATTGGAATGTCTGAGAAATATCTCAGCTCAACATTTTGAAAACTAAGTTGCTGATCTTCCTCTCAAAACTGACTTCACTCATGTCTTCCCCATCATAATCGATAAAAACTCATCCAATTGCTCAAGCCAAAAAACAAACAAACAACAACGATAACCTCATAATTACCTGTGGGAGGAACAGAGACGTACTGCCCACGTCTCTCTCCCAGGTAGGACTTGCTGCCTAGCTGTGGAGAGTGGGACCAGCAAATGTCCCTGGCTGTCAGTTCCTCCAGGATCTACCTCAGCTATAGAGAGGTTATCCCCACTCCCCATGTCTGCAGGTCAAACCCTTTCCAGGGCAGGGTGACCTGCCTCCAGTGACTGAAAGAAGCCTGACTATTTTTACCCGACAAGATACACTTGAGGTTAAGACTCTCGCCAGAGCTCCCTGCTCACTGGTTCAGCTTTGGAGGTCCAGCTCACAGGTAGACTTCATCCTCTACCCAGCCCTGCTCCCTTCCTCTTCCTTCACAGACGTTAATTCCTAATAGCACGTTGTATCCCAACCTCTGTCTAGTGTGTGCTTCTAGAGGATCTAATCTGCAACACCAAGCCATGACCCTTCCCTTTCTCTCACACCCTACAACTAACTTGAACTGTCAAATCCAGCTGGCTCTTCTTGCAAAATTTGGCCTCAATATTCACTAGCCACCCTAGTCCAGACTAAAATGTAAAGAGGTCATGAGAGCAGTGCTCAATTATACCCCAAACAGAAAGAACAGTTCACATGGAATGAATAAATTCTATATTTCATAAATTGATCTATGTAAAATAAAGTCATGTCAATCTAATTAACAATCACAATTTAAATTCATTGACGTCCTTGGAAGAGATGTAAAGGAATCAGAAGTCTACGGATAGAATGTGGTTGTTGTAACTGGAGTGGGTTGCCATTTCCTTCTCCTCACTGGTAGAATATCTACCTGCTAATCAGTTCACTGGAAAACACAGACAATGATTGAGACTGAGTAGGATTTTTATTTACTCATACTCTGAACTCCAACCCAAGCATCTTAAAACACACACATTTAATTATTTTCATACTGGTATATCAAATCACATTTTAATTTTCTCTCAACTTACCTCAAGCTCATCAAGGGCACTTCCCAGGGTTGCTGCCTGAGGCTCTGGTGGGGCTAACATGTTCTGGATGCCCTGTGAAGCATTTGAAATTACATTGAGGGCATTCTGAATTTCTCCACAAACTGTGTCCTTGCTAGCTTTAAGGGATGCAACATCAGAATGTTCCAAACAAGCTGAACAAATTGAATGCAGTATGGGGGAGTTCTCCTTCAATGAGGCCCGGGCACCTGCAATTTCATCCCTCTGATTTGGAGATTTTAGGTCCTGAGGAGAGAAATAAAAAGAGAAATTATGGAAGAAAGATTTATACAAAGAAGCTCCATTTTTCTGCCAATATAAACAAAAAGATAATAGATACTAGGAAGTCATAACTATAAGTTAAACTTAGGGCATAAATTATTTCTACACTCTTGATTCTGTTAAAAGTTCTATAAAGCTTACCAATTAGCAAATAAAGGACACAATGGTACAGATGTGCAATAACTTTTACATGTGTCAGCCATATACTTATGTCAGAAAAATACTCTGGCCTTCACATTATTAACTGAATTATAAGAGGGCTTCAATTCCAAGGATGCTGATTACCTATTTGCATACACATGATACTTCCATTTAATCTTTTTGTTAAAACTAAACCAGTTAAGAATACTAAATTAAACCTCCCACCATTCAGCTATCTTTTATTCTTTTTCAGAAATACTCTAATAATCTTGGATCTTTCTTTCTTCAACATTTATTCAACATATAGTTATTGAGCAATTAGTATATGCTAGCCCTTGAGGCTTCCCTGGTAGCTCAGATGGTAAAGTGTCTGCCTACAATGCGGGAGACCTGGGTTCGATCCCTGGGTCGGGAAGATCCCCTGGAGAAGGAAATGGCAACCCACTCCAGTATTCATGCCTGGAAAATCCCATGGATGGAGGAGCCCGGGGGGCTACAGTCCATGGGGCCGCAAAGAGTCGGACACGACTGAGCGACTTCAGCTCAGCTCAGCCCTTGTGCTTAGATGTCAAGTGCACAGAAGGGAACAGTCCTACAGGGACCTTGTTCTCCTGAGGCTTATATTCTTGTTTGAGGGAAAGGGGATCGAAAGCAAGTGATAAACTATGTAAACAAATACATAAGACAATCTCAGGTAACGACAAATTCCATCAGGAAAACACAAAAGTGAGTGTCAGCAACTGACAAGATGAGAAGCTAGTTTAGCTTGGGTGGTCAGAGGAGATAATTCCTCAGAGATGACATTTGCAATAAATATAAATAAAAAGCATTTCAAACAGTGGGAGGAGAGGAAAGAGAAAGTCCTATGTAAGTGATAGTGGATCAAAACCAGCTCAAACCTACAGGAAAAATCCCTGGCAAGTACTATCTTAGCCAAGAGATGAACGTTAACATCATCAATGATGTCACAAGGATATCGATTGATTCTTGATATATTATGACAAGATGACTACTTCACCTGCCCGGAATTCTCTCTAAAGCCCATAGTCTCAATCTAATCATGAAAAACAACAACAAACAAAACCAGATTGGGGGAAATCCTGCATGATATCTGGACAGTATTCCTGATTAAGGTCCCAGAAAACAAAGAGACTGACTGAGGAACTATCACAGAGCAGAGAAACTGGAGAGACATGACAAGTAAATGCAGCACAGAACCCTGGATCAGATCCCGGAACAGAAGGAAGGCATTAACGGAAAAAGTGATGAATTCCAAATAAAGCCCAGAGTTTAGTTAACAGCAATTCATCAATGTTTGCTCATTGTAGCAGATGTAAGACATTAACAGTGCAGGAAATAAGAAGAGTAGATCAGAAATTTCTGTATTGTCTTTGCAACTTTCCCAGAAATCTAAAATTATTAATATAAAATAAAAAGTGCACTTTAAAGAAAACTAACTCAAGTGACCTGAACAATAATTTTATGCATTCCACACATAATATCTCATGTAATACTTATAAAAAATCATGGTACCTATTATTTCTCTTTTTAAAGATGAGAAAACTGGCTTCCTGCAAGAGTGACATCTCCAGGATCTTACGCATTAACTTTCCACGATTTGTTGCACAGTGATTTGTATTTATTGCCTCAAATGTAGTAATACCTTTAAAAAGTCTGGAAACTCAGAATTAGGGGTATAAAAAATCATAAATTATATGTTTAATTTTTATCTGACATACCCCCAAATTTTATCTTTCAGAAAGTTAGGTATGGTATGGGTTCCGGCGCCAACTGACTGAGCTACATGTAGCATTTCTTGCATCGTAACACAAGTCAGTGTGACTGCTAAGACATGATCTTAACAGCTTCTCGCAGGAAAAGGATTTCTCTCATTTGCTATTATACAAAGATGAGGACTTGTGTTTTTTTGCTTTTTTTTTCCCCCAATTATTTTTATTAGTTGGAGACTAATTACTTTACAATATTGTAGTGTTTTTTGCCATACATTGACATGAATTAGCCATGGATTTACATGTGTTCCCCATCCTGAACCCCCCTCTCACCTCCCTCCCCATCCCACCCCTCTGGGTCGTCCCAGTGCACCAGCCCTGAGCCCTTGTCTCATGCATCCAACCTGGACTGGTGATCTGTTTCACACTTGATAATATACATGTTTTGATGCTGTTCTCTCAGATCATCCTGCCCTCGCCTTCTCCCATAGAGTCCAAAAGTCTGTTCTATACATCTGTGTCTCTTTTTCTGTCTTGCATATAGGGTTATCATTACCATCTTTCTAAATTCCATATATATGTGTTAGTATACTGTATTGGTGTTTATCTTTCTGGCTTACTTCACTCTGTATAATGGGCTCCAGTTTCATCCATCTCATTAGAACTGATTCAAATGAATCCTTTTTAATGGCTGAGTAATATTCCATTGCATATATGTACCACAGCTTTCTTATCCATTCGTCTGCTGATGGGCACCTAGGTTGCTTCCATGTCCTGGCTATTATAAACAGTGCTGCGATGAATGTTGGGATGCACGTGTCTCTTTCAGATCTGGTTTCCTCGGTGTGTATGCCCAGGAGTGGGATTGCTGGGTCATATGTATTATACAATGACTTACAGTTTATAAAGTGTTTCTGGATAGTATCTCACTGATCATCACAACACCCCTTGAGGCAGTTAGGCTGGTGTTATCAGCCCCATTTTGGCTAAATAGGTATTTAGTATTGGGAGATTAAAAAGCTGGCAGAAGAACTGAGATGTAAACGTAAATCTTCTGATTGCAAATCCCATGACTAATTCACAAGACTCCTCTACCTTGGAATAATGCTGCCTGAGGCTAATAAATGGCTGCACTACTATATTTTTAGCTCCTCCTTTTCTCAAAATAAAGGCTGTCTGCTACTTCAGGTGGCCTTTGAGAGAGAGTAACTTTTTTACAAGATGCAGGAGGACAGTTAGAAGTAGCTGTCAACTCACTGTTCATACTCATTAATAACCCCAGAAAAGACATTGCATGATTTTCTTGACTTGCTATGATTTCCCCTATAGATTTCTGGCCTGGGTTCTAGTTTCAGCTCTGTCATTAGTACTAAGCTGGGCAAGTCTACTTATCAGTGTCTGTGTTTCCATCTGTAAAAACGAGGATAACTGTACTCCTGCCAACCCGGTAAGGGGATTCAGTCAGTGGCATAACAGAATTGGAATATGCTTGTAAAGTAGTAGAGAATTACAGAAAGCATTCAGAAATATTTTATTCCTAAAATTTATCAAACTTGGGGCACTGTTTTTGTTCTGTAATAGTCTTAGAGATTTTCATATTCCCAACAGTTTTGTACAACTGTGTGTGTGTGTGTGTGTGTGTGTGTGTGTGTGTGCGCACGTGCGCGCGCACTCATTCAGTCATGTCCAGTTCTTTGCGACTCCAAGAACTGTAGCCCACCAGACTCCTCTGTCCAAGGAATTTTCCAGGTTAGAATACTGGAGTGGGTTGCCATTTCTGACTCCAGGGGCTCTTCCCAACCCAGGGATCAAATCCACATCTGTTGCTTCTCCTACATTAGCAGGTGGATTCATTATCTACATTTATCTCAATGTGACTTAGAGGAAAAATAATTTAATGTTTAAAAAGGATGTACACTCCTCCAAAGAGTAATGACACCATGTATAAATATTCATAAAGAACTGAAGAAAATTCTCTGCATATTACAGTATAGCTATAACTATATAACTTCTTCTGAAATGACCTGCACATTATACTTCTCTATTTAGAATGACAAGGTCAATGTTTAGGTAGTTTCTGGAAGATGAAAGTCGGTGAACATGTATTATTACAAAGAAGGATAAAGTTAAAACATTATTCCTTATATATATATATATATATATAACTGTTAATTGTGTTAACTTTTATGCTCTAGGAACTTTGAAGTTTTAAAAATTGTAATATATTTTGGCTTTTGAGCCTATGCCTTGTTATCTCTGCCCAAAGCAATTACAGAATTCTTAATGAGCACTGATAGCCTAAATGGCAAGCCAACAAAGCTTGTTAGAAAAGTTCAGTGAATGTTACAAAAATATCATATTATGGCAGCAGGTGGAAAAAGAAGGCAGTTTACAGAGTTTAGGAAAGAAAAATTGAGAAGACAAGGTTATTTCTCCTAAAAGACACCCCAAAGGATAAATTTAATGTAGTAAATAAGCACACAAATAAAAGGACAGCTAATGAATGTCACACTTCTAAACAAAAGTGGTTCTTTTGCTTTAGCAATCATACCAAAGGTCCATAAGTTGTCTATTTATACTTAATTTTTTTTTCAGATTTTTTCCATTTATTTTTATTAGTTATTATTAAATTTAAAACCAGGTCAAAATAGGAATTAAATGGTAGGGTCATTTAGGGATTTCTCTGGATGAAGAATTGTAAAGAATTGCATCTTGAGGACTGGTACTTATTTAATATCTTTTTTAATGCTCCAGAAGAAAAAGCTTACATGAGATTTCCAAGTTAAGGAGACATTAAATGCTTCCAGCTGATGAAGAAATACACAGATGGGACTTAAAAAGAAGACCTTACAAGTCTGTGCAAGTGGGTAGAGAAGCAACATATGAGTTTTAACCCTGGCAAGAGAACAAAATATATTTAGGGATTTTAAAGATCATAAAGTATAAAAAAGGAGGGCTCTAAGCTATCAGTTAATTAATTCAACTGTTCATTCAACAATATTGTTGAGCCCCGCCCCCTTTACATATTAGGCAGTGTGCTAAATGTTAAGCAAGCAAGATATAGAGCTTACAGATCAGAAGGGGAAAACAAAA